TCAAAAATTTATCAGAGAAATTCAACAAAGAGATTGAAGTGATTAAAAAAATTAAACAGAAATCTTGGAATTGGAGAAACACATTTACTGAATTGAAGAACTCATTAAAGGCTCTCAACAGCAAAATGGACCAAGTAGAAGAAAGAATCAGTGAGCTCAAAGACCAAGCATTTGAAAACACACAGTCAGAGGAGAAAAAAAGAAAAAGATAAAAAAAAAAGAACCCGCAAAAACCTATGAGATACAGAAAATTACCTTAAAGGATCAAATCTAAGAATTATTGGTGTCCAAGGGGGAGCTAAGGAAGAGCAAGAGGTAGAAAGGTTATTCAAAGAAATAACTGAAAACTTTCCAAAACATGAGAAACATACAAATATCCAGGTACAGGAAGGTCTGAGAACACCAAATAGATTCAACCCAAATACGACTACCCCAAGGTATATAGTAATCAAACTCTTAAAGGTCAGGGACAAAGAGAAAATTCCAAAAGCAGCAAGATAAGGCAAATAAGACACAAGAGAGCTCCAACTCATCTGGCAACCAACTTCTCATGGAAGCAAAATAGGCCAGGAGGAAGTGGAATGACATTTTCAAAGTACTTAAGGAAAAAAAATGCCATCCAGAATATTACATCCAAAAAAATTATCCTTCAAATATGAAGGAGAGAGAAAGTCTTTCTCAAACAAAAGCTGAGAGAATTCAGCACCACAAGAACCATTTTTCATGAAGTACTAAAGAGAGTTCTTTAATCTGAAAGAAAAAAACTACTAATGTACAAAAGGAAAACTTTTCAAGCTATAAAACCCGCTGGTAAAATTAAATACATAGACAAACCCAGAATACTCTATTGCTTTAATTGTGGTTTATAACCAATTCAAAACTTTAGTATGAAGCCCAAAATACAAATCTATCAGAAACAATGATAGGTACAGCAAACTGTTGAGAGATAAGTAATATAAAAATATGTAAATTGAGACAATTAAAAGTCCAAATGTCAGGGGAATGGAGTTAAAATGTAAATATTTTATGTGTTCCTTTTTTGCCTTTGTTTCTAGTCTTTAATATGTTATAAGTCATCATCTCTTTTAAAGTAACTTGTTATATCTACAAAATGTTTTTGATAACCCTCATGGTAACTACACTGCAAAAATCTATAATAGATTCACTAAAAATAAAAACAACTAATCAAAACATGCTATCAGAGAAAATCACTTAACCACAAAGGAAGACAGTAAGAAAGGAGAAAATGAAGAGAGAGGTCTCATAACAACCAGAAAACAGGCAACAAATTCGCATTAGTAAGTTCTTAATTATCAATAATAAAACAGAATGTAAAATGGTCTCAATTCTCCAAGTAAAAGGCATACAGTGGCTGAATGGATAAAGAAACAAGACTCAACTATATGCTACCTTCAAGAAACCCACTTCACCTATAAAGACAGACTGAAAGTGAGGGGTGGAAAAAATATTCCATGCAACTGGAAACCAAAATAGAGCAGGAGTAGCTATACTTATATCACATAAAATAGACTACAAATTTAAGATTATAAAAAGAGACAAAGGACACTATATAAAGATAAAGGAGTCTATTAAACAGGATGTAACAACTATAAATATCTATGCACCCAACACTGGAACTCCCAAATATTTAATGCAAACATTAACAGATATAAAGAGAGATATCTACTGAAATACAATAATAGAAGGAGACTTTAACAACCTGTTCTCAACAGTGGACAGCTCATCCAGACAGAAAATCAACAAAAAAATAGGGGAGTTAATCTACCTACTAGATCTAATAGGCCTAGCTGACATTTACAGAACATTTTACCCAACTGCAGCAGAATACACATGCTTTAGCATATGAACATTCTCCAGAACAGACCATATCTTATGCCACAAAACTCATCTAAACAAAATTTTAAAATCCAGAAATCATATCAAGTATCTTTTCTCACCACAATAGAATAAAACTAGAAATCAATAACAAGAGGCAACTCAGATAATACACAAACCCATGCAAATTAAACAACATCCTTCTGAACAACCAATGGGTCAATGAAGAAATTAACAAGAAAATTTAAAAATTTCTTGAAACAAATGAAAATGGAAATATAACATACCATAATTTATGGGATAAAGCAAAAGCAGTACTAAGAGGGAAGTTTATAGCAATAAATGTCTACACCAATAAAGGAGAAAGACTTCAAATAACCTAATGATATACCTCAAAGAACTAAAAAAGCAGAACAAACTAAACCCATTAGGAGAAGGAAAGACATAATAAATATCAGAGCAGAAATAAATGAAATTGAGATTTAAAAAATTACAGAAGATCAACAAAACAAAAAGTTGGTTTCTTGAAAAGGTAAACAAAATTGACAAGCCTTCAGCTAGACTAACAAAAAGAGGGGAGAACCAAATAAATAAAATCAGAAATCAAAAAGAAGACACAACAACTGAGATCTCAGAAATATAAAGTATCATTAGAGACTATTATAAACAATAATACATCAACAAATTGGAAAATTTAGAAGAAATGAATTCCTTCATACATGCAATCTACCAAGATTAAACACAATGAAGAAACAGAAAATTTCAACAAACTAATAATGAGTAGCAAAATCAAAGCCATAATAAAAAGTCTCCCATCAAAGAAAGACTCAGAGGAAGAAAAGCCCAAGGTAAGACCCACTGGCTTGGAATTCCAGCCAGCTACCATTAGTGGCATTGTACCTCCCTAAGAATGAGCTCCCAGGGGGAGGGGCAGGCCATGTCTTTGCTGTTTGGGTGCCATAGCCACTCTAGCCTTCAGGCTTTGGAGAGTCTGAATTGACCCGTGGTGGAAGGGATCCACCAGCACAGCACAGCACAGCACAGTTGCTCTACCAAAATGTGGCCAACTGCTGCTTTAAGTGGATGCCTGATCCCATTCCTCCTTACTGGGCAGAACCTCCCAACTGAGACCTCCAACCACCTCTGTCCAAGCTCTTCAGCCAACAGAGATCTGAACTGCCCCTGGGATGGCTCTCCCAGAGGGAGGGGCAGGCTGCCATCTTTGCTGTTCTGGTGACTTAGCCGTTCCAGCCTTCGGGCTTTGGAGAGTCGAAGCCAACCCACAGTGGAAGAGGTCCTCCAGCATAGCATAGCTGCCCTACCAAAATGTGGCCAGACTGCTGCTTTAAGCGGGTATCTGATTCTGTTCCTCCTCACTGGGCAGGACCTCCCAACCAGGGCCTCCAGCCACCCCTGCCCATGTTCTCCAACCTACAGAGATGTGAATTTACTCAGGGACAGAGCTCCCAGGGGGAGGAGCAGGCTGCCATCTTTGCTGTTAGAGTGACTTAGCTGTTCCAGCCTTTGGGTTTTGGAGTATCTGAGATGACCAGAGGCAGAAGTGGACCCCCAGTGCAGCACAGCTGCTCTACCAAAACGTGACCAGACTGCTTTTTTCCTGATCCCATTCCTTCTCACAGGGCAGGACTTCCCAACTGGGGTCTCCAGTCATTTCCTACAAATGCCTTTGGGTGGGCAACAAGTCCATGACTCCTTGGGACAAAGCTCCCAGAGAGAGGGGCAGGCTGCCATTTTTGCTGTTTCATAGCCTTCACTGGGGACACCTCCAGTTCTGGAAAATCTGAGGTGACAAGGGACTGGAGCGGGCCCCAAGCATACCACAGCAGCCCTACAGAAAAGTGGCCAGACTGTTATGTGGGTGCCTGTTCCCATAGCTCCTTACTGGACAGGTTCTCCAGGCCTCGGCCTCAAGCCACCGCCCCCCACACCCCCACCCGCACCACCCCCACCACCCCCACCACTCCCACCACCCCCGCCAAAGCTACTGAGCCACTACCAACTGAGAAACTCCCCAGACAGAACCTCCGGGAGCAACGAAAAATAATTCTTTTGGAAAATTTTATGAAAACAATTTTTTTTCACTTAAAGTCCTCAGTGGATTTCCTACAATAGATAACAAAATCATTTTCCAGCCAATTCCTCATTGCTTTTCTCAAATACAAATGCTATGTAACAGAAAACATGAATAATTCTACAACACAGCCTATTTCTTGGCTACTAGAGGGAGGTGTACCATAAATGCCCATTTACAATGTCTTCTGCACAGGTGTGCAAAGAGTTAATGGTATCAGATTAATCCCATAATAATAGAAATAAAGTTGGCATAGAATTCATATAAACATTAAAAAGTATATATTTGGTGCTACCATGATAACCTCTGACAATTCATTTCTGATGAAGTCTACTGAATCAAAGTAATGTCTTTGTACCTTGTTTGATAGTTGGCCATAACAGTATCACATAATTACACAGAACAAAAAGGCAGTGATAATGTTCAAAAATAAGTACCTTGGTTCTGAGATGTTACCTGTATACCAAGAACAATGAAGGTGCTTATCAGTGGTTATTCAAAAGTCCTCAACTCACTGCTTCTCTGAGAAATATAGGATGTGTTAAATTCATGTCATTTCCTCAGGCACCTCCAAGTTCCTCTCCAGTTCTTCCTTACATATTTCCTATATAGAATCATATTTAAGTCACCTAATATATGGAAAATGGATTGAGCAATGCTTGGCACATAGTAGTCACTAAGTATTTATTGTTATCATTATTACTTCATGTCTTACAAACTTTGTATGTCACATTCCCTGCAGAAATTCTAAAGTGTGATTTGCTTTAGCAAGTTCAACACAGTGCTTTCAGGGGAGAGGAAGTCTAATGTGTAGAGCATTTCTATATTACATTGTTCTTATTTAGGACAAAACAGGCAAATCACCTAAGAAGTTATCAAAGTGATCAAAAATGCACTTAGAAGATTTGTTGGGGGTACCTTTAGATAAATATCCCCAAGCTATTACCTGAAATAAGTGTTGAGAGCAAATTAAAACTAGTATTTGATAACTGTACTGGAAAAAAGCACTGATAAAACAGTCCTATCCTCACATTGCATTTCCTTCACACTGTGGCAATCCATTGCAACATTATTAAAGTATTTCAATGTATATTTTATTTTTATAATAATGAATCTAATATTCTGTAATATCCTTTGATTTGTTATATATCATTCATACATCATTCATTCCATTCACTTAAAGCATCATCTTCACCAGGCATTTCTGTTGGTAATTGGTCAAGAGAAGTTGAATCTTTGTATCTCCCAGAACTCTGCTCTGATTGTACCTCAGGTGTAGAGGCTTTTGGCCCCCAGAAAGCCTTGACTGCTGCCCTGGAAGAAAAAAGCAAAAACCAAAACCACCATATGAAGCGAAAACTAAAACTGAATAGATTTCTATATTTTCTATGTATAGAAATATATATATGTGTGTATTACCTGCATGTATATATTATATATTATATATGGTACAAATATATACAACCTGTACATATACAAATATATATAACCTGTATATATATATTTGTACCTGTGTATATATTACAGGTACATTACATTACAGGTATATTACAGGTATATCATAAAGGAAAGAAAAAGAATATAAATGTATTTATGACTACTGAACTGTATACTTTAAAATGGTAAAAATGATAAATTTTATATTCAAATTTTACCTCAATAAAGAATAAAATTTTTAAAAATTACAATGATAAAAATTACTATTCAAAAATGTTTAGCACCTACACTAAGGTTACACAACTATACCTACTCAGGAAAAAAAATCGGAAGGCTGATTTTTAAAAACACTTTTATAGGGGTGGGAGGTCTGGGACGTACTAAAAAAAATAATTCCTTTGGAAAATTTTATGAAAACAATTGTTTTCGCTTAAAGTCCTCAGTGTACTTCCTACAATACATAACAAAATCATTTTCCAGCCGGTTCATTGTGATGATGCATCCAGCTGATGCATCATAATCTAAAAATGAATAATGAATAAAAAGGCACTTCTTCAAGAAGAGGTAATATATAAGTATATATAGTATATATCTGTGTACATATAGTATATATAATATATGTAAATATAGTATATATACTGTATACAGGTCATATGTATGTACTATATGTATATATATTATATACGTATATATATGTACTATATATACATGGAGGTAAATATAATATATATTACCTCTTCTCTAATAAGTGTTTTTTATGCATTATTTTTAGTCTGTGATACATATATATTACATATATGTATCTATATATGTATACACATACATAATACACATATATGTATGTATACATATATGGTACATATATGTGTATACATGGTACAAATATACATGTGTAATATATATGATGATATTTATAATAGTTACATGAGTATTACACCCTGGTAAGCCTGAGGGCTCATATACATACATACTATATATATGTAATGTATACACAATCATCTGTAATATATATACATCACAAACTAAAAATAATAAAAAGGCACATCTTAGATATGAGGTTGTATATGTTATACATACATAGATCTACATATATATTATATAACCCATATATTATATACACATGTATATTATATATTATATATAAATAATATATACTATATACATATTTGGTACACATATATGACCTATATATGATATATTTATATTGCATATAGAATATATGTACATAGATATATGTATATTGTATATACAATATATGTACATACATATAAAACATATATATTACCTCTTCTCTAAGAAATGCCTTTTGTGTTCATTATTCATTTTTAGTTTGTGATGCATCAGCTACAAATCGATAGTACATGAGCCCTCAGATTTACCAGGGTGTACTACTCATGTAGGTATTATAAATATTGTCATACAAATGAATTAGTAGGTTACAATAACCAAGATTTTAGAGTTGAGAGAACCAAAACTGGACAACACAAATATTCATTAAATAAAGCTTTTTAAAGCAATTACCATGTAAAATTGTAAAAATCGCATTTAAAAGCTCTCTCGTAGTTCGAGAAGCAAGTCATGAGATTGTTTTAAAAAGCATCTACATAAAGAGATGGGGTAGCCTGAACTAGGGCAGTCACAGGAGTAATGAAAGGAGATGGACAGTTTCAAGGCAACATGTAGGAGACAACACGGACAGGGCTTTGCAATTCACTGGATGAGGAGAGGGAAGAAGAGGAGGATGTCAATCAAGGGTGATGATGCATTCCACCATTCACCTACCAATTTACGATTATGAAGATCAATAAGAAGATTATAAATACACAGATAATGACTCCTACGGTCAGCACAAAAATTAGGGCTGCATCAGTGACCGGTAGGCCTGATCTTCTCATTTGCAATTCTAGAGAAAACACACAAACCTAATGAGTATGACTACTGAGGAAAAGGAAATTTAAAAGTTGATATTTGAAAAACAACTCTAGAAACATAAAGAAATACTTAGTGCAGAGAAAATTATTAATCATCTTGCTCTGCATGTTTGAAATCTCCTTTTCAAACATGCAAAAAGGTTAAAAGAATTTGACAATGAACAGCCTGTATTACCACCTTCTAAATACTACCATTAATATTTTAAAATTCATCTATCCATTCGTCTATCAACTCATTAATCCATCTTATTTTTTATGCATTTCAATATAATTTACAAATGTCAGTATACTTCCCCCAAAATTTTTCAGCAAGCACATCATTAACTGGATTTTAATATTAGTTTTTTCTTTGAAATAAAATTTTCACACAAAGAATTGCACAAAGATCTTAGATGTACATTTCCTTAGTTTTCACAAAGGCAAACTCGTATAAGTAACTAAATGCTAGTCAAGATATAGAATATTACTATACCCCAGAAAGCTCCCTTGAGCCTCTTCCTAATTAATTCCTTCTTCATCCTTCAGAGGCAACAAGTATCCTGATTTTCTTTTTCACCATAGATTAGCTCTGACTATTCTAGAACTACATATAAATGGAAACACACACTAGGTAATCTCTTGTGTAAAGATTTGTTTACTCAGAATAATGTTTTAGAAATTCACCCATACTGTTATATGCAACTATCTTTTTTTCATTACTAGGTATACTCCACAATTTGTTTACTCGTCCTCCTACTGATGGATACCTAGGCTGTTCCAGTTGTGAGATATTATAAATAAAGCTGCCATGAACATTCTTATACAAGTCATTTTGTGAATATATATCTTAATTTTTGGCTAAATATCTAATAATAGAAATTGCTGGGTCGTAGGGTAGACAGATGTGTGTTTAGCTTTCTAAGAAACCATGAGAACTTTCTCAAACTGACTGTACTGACTGTACATGTTTTATAAATGTTTTCTACCAGATTTTGGCTTGCCTATTCATTATCCTAATGATTTCTGTTAATGAGCTGAAGTTTTTAATTTTGATGCGGTCTGATTTATTCCATGTTTCTTTTTATGGTGATTGTTTTCTGAATTATGTCTAAGAAACCTTTGCTTACTCCTGAATCATGCAAATATTCTCCTATATTTCTTCCCTAAAACTTTATGGGTTTAGCTTTTACACTTAAGACTATGATACCTCTCCAATTTTTATATTTGCTATAAGAAAGGAATTGAAGCTCATCGTTTTCCATACACATATCCACACACCCCGACCCCTCTCTTTTTAGGAAATGGGGTCTTGCTATATTGCCCAGGTTGGCCTTGAACTCCTGGGCTCAAGTGATCCTCCCACCTCAGCCTCCCAAGTAGCTAGTATAGGCACACACCACTGTACCCACCTCATGCACCACTCTTACATCAAGCATTCTCTCCCATATCTCTCTGCTCTTTCAGCAAATAAGGTTATTAAAGAGACAAAACCAGTCTACCATATGTATTATAGTATTACTACATTGTAAACTGGTAAAAAGCCAATTAACATAGAATATTACTTCCTTTGTGAATTATATGTCTTTATTGTAGCTCTTTTATGTCCCCAAATTCTGGAATCATAAAAGATTCATGGAAGAAAGAACCACAGAGATCATCTGATCCAACCATTGCATTATACAGATGAGTAAACCAAGGTCCAGGGAGGTTTAATTTATACAAGGTATATTTTGACTATTTAAATATTTTGATTTTGATAAGTACCACTCTGTCAGAAGTAGTCTTCTATATGAGCAATCTCAACTGCTTATTTTTCTGGATTTGCTTCCCTATCTGTTAGACATCATGGAGTATAACTTTCCATTTTGCCTAGTAATTCCACAGCTATAAACTCAAGTTAGGGATCTTGCTAAATAGTTCCAAGTATGCTAGAGAAAGTACATCTATATTTATGTTTCAACATTGTTGGATTTTTAAAAATCTTTTTATTTCAGAATAACTTTAGATTTACACAAGTGGTGGCATTTTGGAAACTTAAATAAAAGACACCTTTTATAACTGAAACCTGACAAGGAGAAATGCAAAATTCATTTATCCATTACTCTGCAATGTTAGCTGAGAGAGGGTGGAGAGAGAGGGGCATGAAGATTTTATTTATTACAACAGTAGTCTTGCAAGGGTCACCGAGACTATTTTTACAGGTAATGAAAAAATAGGCTCAATTTCCTATTGAAATGTTTAATGAAAAATAGGCTAAATTTGATGCTCTCACCTTTTAGATAAACTAAGCTTATGTACATAATAGTTTCCTAGGACCACCATAACAAAGTACCACAAACTGAGTGACTTAAAAACAACAGAAATGTATTGTCTCACAGTTTTGGAGGCTAGAAGTCTGAAAACAATGTGTTGGCAGAGCCACGCTCCCACTGAGGGTTCTTGGGGGAGGATCCTTCCTTGCCTCTTACAGCTTCTCAGCTTCTGGTAGACATTCCTTGGATTCTGGTAGCATAACTCCAATTTTTGTCTCCATTTTCACATGGCTGTCTTCTCCCTGTGTCTCTCTGTGTCTTCACCTGGTATTCCCCACCCCACGCTCCGTCTGTGTTTGTGTGTCTGTGTGCACACAAACATGCCCAAATAGTCCTCTTCTTATGAGGGAACCAGTTATATTGGATTAAAGGCCCACTCCGCTCTAGTATAACCTCATCTTAACTAATTACATCTGCAAAAAATCCTATTTCCAAATATAGTCACACTCTGAGTACTTCAAAGTATCTTTTTTAACAATGCCTAATTATGAAAGACAACTATTGTGGGAGTGAAAAATCTGATATTTAAGTGAATGGATGAGAATTTTTCACTAGGGAAACCATATTTACTCTAAAAATATCTCTATTACATATTTGTTTCATGCTAGTACCATATTGTGTAGACATTTCTAGCCAAAACATTTGTTTGATTTCTAATCAGTCAGAGGGGTCTGTTGCAGTGGTGTACCCAATTGTCATGTCTAAAGAAATTAATAGATACTGGAGTGTTCTAAAAACATTTTGTCATTCAATCAGTGCACGTACAGAGATGGCAGAGTTATCCCACCATTCCTGGACTGATGTAAGAGAGAGAAGTTAACTTTGTCTCAATAAAGGCCTGACATTTTAGGGTCTGTGTTCCAGTCTTTAACATATACATTACCAAATGCATGCTCCCTTCTACGTATGAGAGGAGCTAACCACACTGAATTGTCCTAACAGGGACAAGGTAGTAGGGACAAAGACTGAGAATGGCTCCACACACCTTTAACATCATGAACGAGGGCCAGTTGAGATATTTTTTAGTTTAATGATGTTTTTATTCTCTTGCCTTTTTTAGAGCTTTATTGAAAATTATCCTTTTAATGACACCTGTTATCCCAGTAGAGGGATAAGATTATTAGCTTTCACCATGAAGATGTTTCTAAACTCATTAAACAGCGTATCAAAGAAGGTTTAAATAGTAGTTTATTTTTTAAAATCACTCTAAAACACTTTAACCTGTTTTCATTTCAATAAAATGGTTATGTTGTGCGGTATCTTTAAACTACAGCAGAAGCTCTTTACTTTGTGTTCAGAAATAGCTTCAAGAAGTCCAAAAACTCCTTTAAAATTACATGTAACTTTTGGCATATTTGTGTGTGGACATTTTTCTGGAAAAAGGATCCTGAGTCTTGATAGGATTCTCAAAAGAACTTGTGACCAAGTCCCCACATCCCTAACAACAAAGTTGATAACAACAGTAAAAACAGTTAAGAGCAGTTGAACAAAAGGAAATAATTACCTGGATATGTAAGACATCACAGATTAAATTGAATATATGCAAATGGATCTAACTCACAAGGAAAATATGGTTTCTAATATGTAAAATGACATTCAGGACAATATTTGCATTTTGTGATATATTTTTTTGAGAACTGTATTAGTGCTTCATCAAAAAACATTTGCTTCAAATATATAATTTTTAAAGAGACATACTTTGACATTGTATTTCTTAATTTTATTTATTTTACTGAATGAAAATTTTCATAAGCATCCATGAGAATTCCATTTATCCATTTTCACTTTTCTAATGAAAGTAAAAGCAAGAATATAATTCAAGTTAGAGGACTGTTCTCTGAAGATACTTAAGAAATACACCAGGTGGCGGGCGCCTGTAGTCCCAGCTACTCGGGAGGCTGAGGCAGGAGAATGGCGTGAACCCGGGAGGCGGAGCTTGCAGTGACTCGAGATCGCGCCAGGCCACCGCACTCCAGCCTGGGCGACTGAGCAAGGCTCTGTCTCAAAAAAAAAAAAAAAAAGAAAGAAATACACCAGTTTCCCAAAGTGAGGCAACTGTGACTACTTTGTGAAAAAGAAATTAATTAGTATCTTGTAGAAAAGTCTAAATGATGTAAACCAGTGGTTCTCAAAGTGTGGTCTCTGGGACCAGCAGCAACAGGGAAACTTGTTAGAAATGGAAATTCTTGTTCCAGTCCCATCCCAGATCTACTGAATCAGAAACTCTGGGGGTAGGGATAGAGATTGGTGTTTTAACAAGCCTCCAAGTGATTTTAATGCTCTTTAAAGTTTGGCATATAAGCAAACCAAGACATTGCTGGACACTTACCACTGCTCGTATAGATTGTGAATTTAATAGTTGCTACTATTTCATTATTATCCAATGTGTCACACTGGAAAGCCAAGGGGTAATTTTCCCTGCGTACTTCTAGGATTGCTGAATCATTTACAAGTACAATGGATTGCTATTTAAAAAGAAAAAAATAACAAAGTATCAACATTCTTCATGTACACTTACCAGGAAACAATTTATTTCCCTTAAGGAAAGGAGGGTTACTGTCTCCCTTAGCCTAGTTAAGTAATTAATGCTCTACATGGATTTTCAGTCACACAATCCAGACTTCAAATCCCAACCCTACCACTTCATGCCTGTGTGACTGTGGACAAGTTACTCACTGCACCTCAGTTACTCACTTGTAAAAATTGATATAATGATAGTGATTACCTCACAGAATTGTTACATGGATTAAAAAAGGCTCTAGCACTCAGTGTCATGTCTGGCACTTAATAAACCTTTAATTAATGTTAGCCACTGTTATTATTACACAACTCCTATATAAGCCAATGAAAACCTTGCTTCTGAAATTGAATACTTTGTATAAAATCGACGTTTTAAAGTTCTGATTATAGCTGGCCCTTGGATGTATGTAAAGTTTAGTCCTACTGAATAATGAAAATTTTAAAATTCCAAAATAATAAAGTTGTATAATTCTTAACTTCATTTTGGAAAACTGCTTTTAAAAAGAAAGTTTTCTGAAAACCATCAGAACTGAGAAACAAATTTTATCACTCACTAGAAAGCACCAGGTTATATCCATTCATTACTCACTTGGTCTGGCCTTAGAAGTTTCCATATATATTTGAAACGATTTATAGGAGATGTGTGAATACATGCCAGTCTAACACTTTCAAGACTTTCTGAAATTGGTTTACCCCCTGAAAAAAAATTAAACACATAAATACGATTGGGCATTATTAATTGCTTTATACATGACACTACCTTTTTTTTTTTTTTTTTTCCTAAGACAGGATCTGGTTCTGTCTCCCAGGCTGGAGTGCAGTGGCATGATCTTGGCTCACTGCAACCTCTGCCTCCTGGGCCCAAGCCATCTTCCCACCTCAGCCTCTCAAGTGGCTGGGAATACATGCACATGCCACTATGCCTGGCTAATTTAAAACAAAAAAATCTGTAGAGATGGGGTTTCATCATGTTGCCCAACCTGGTCTCAAACTCCTGAGCTCAAGTGATCTTCCTGCCTCAGCCTCCCAAAGTGCTAAGATTACAGGTGTCACAATACTACTTTAAAAAGCCACCTCCAGTTTTAAAAATCAACTATATGCTGGAAGTTATCAAACTTATAATTGGGAGTTTGAGTGTAGAGGAACAGAAGACTGATAGGTGCAAAGATAGTCACCAAAAGAAGCAAGTGAGGAGACACCATGGCTTTCTGCTCCTTATGCAGAATAAGTTGTAATTGACCTAGTCATCTGTTAGACTAAACTATGAGATCTATTAGTGGCTTCCAATGTACTTGTTAGGGACTCCCATCAGACATACTGAAATTTCATAACAGCATAATGTGATATATGGAACAGCTGTCAACGTTCCCAATTTAAAGTTTACAAATCTACTGACAAAATGCCATGATCAAAGCATCAAAAGCATTTCGCCACAGGATAGCCTCAACTATAGATCCTATATACAGTAAGCCTCCAGTGTATTATAGAGAATATATGTTAACTTTTATATGTCTCTGAAAAAAGGTGAAGCAAAATCAGAAAGTTGCTCAGAACTATAACTGTTTAAAGAAGTGGAATTTAAAATGTTATGATTTCCTTTCAGTATGTCAACTGGTTGCCTCCTTCTACTCAGTGGCAACCTGAGGTGAAAAACATTTCCCCAGAGTAAACTCTTGCCCACAGTCTCCCTCCAATACATAATTCAACTCACAGCCACAATCTGTTGGTCCACGGCACTCTTCAACCCGTACGACACACTTGGATTCACCAGTAGGGCATCCATTTGTTAATATAACTTCTCTAACACCAATACCTTTGGTTTAAGATAAAAAAGGGCAAATGTTAAGAAAAAAACTGATTCCATAGTGTCTTCACTTTCCCACCTAGGTCTTTTCTTGAGACTTTTCTTCTAATTTCAGAAATTAAGCTCCTAAATTCAGAATGATAACACTTAAAATTTTTCTGGCTCTGCATTTTGAGTTATTTCCTAAAACAGCATTTTCTGGAGTGAATTATGTGAAACACTAGTTCCTCTGGGTACCATAAGAAAAAGGATTCCATAATCATGCACATTTGAAAATAGTACATTAAATGAAATTAAAGGGATCACTTTACTACAGAATTTTGAGGGAACTTTTAATATGCTAGTAAATTAACATGCTATTGTGTACATCTGCATGGATCTAAGATGTAAAATTTTTACATTTTTACATTTTAACATCTGTAAAATCAGAATACATTTACAATTGATAACATGTCATAAATTAATTGGCAGTATTTTTCCTTTTTAGAGTACATAAAATGTACTTCTTACAGTCCATAAAGTCGTGGATTTGATGGAATACAGTGGTATTTTTTCCCCAAATTTATTTGACCCAGGAACTTTCTGGGGAAGCATGGGGGAAGCTCTGGAGGAAAATAAAAAATCACATTTTAGCATAAACGATGCCTTTAAATATTTAGATTCATAAAATGTCTGTATTAAAAAATATAGAGAGGACAACCTATCACTGACCAAATCTCCATTTCCAACAGGATGCTCTCTTTAGATCGTCACACTTTTTGTAACAAGAAATTAACTTTCCTAACTGATCTCAGAATTCCAGAGTTTGCCTCACATCACCACAATTGAGAGAAATAACAAAATGCAGGATTAGCTACATGTTGAAAAATGTGCCATGTTAAGACAGGTTAAGAAAGAGTCCATTTTTATTTCCTTAACTACTAGATTTCCTCTTCCAGCCCCTCTAAGATGTTATCTTACTGGAGATGTTACTAAAATGCAAATTTTGAGTTAGCTGTTCTTGAATGGGTTTGAGATTCTGCATTTCTAACAAGCTCCCAGGTGATACTGCTGCAGTCTGTGGATCTCATTTTGAATAGTAAGGGAGAAGGCTACATATGAAATAAGAAAATGGAAGGATGGAAGGAAGAAGGTCTTTGGTTAAGAGAAATGATGGCTAAGAATGGCTGAAGTAAGGCTCCACTTGAGTTTATGAAAGACTTTTTTTTTTTTGAGATGCAGTCTTGCTCTGTCGCAGAGGCTAGAGTGCAGTGGCATGATCTCAGCTCACCGCAACCTCTGCCTCCCGGGTTCAAGCAATTCTCCTGCCTCAGCCTCCTGAATAGCTGGGATTACAGGGGCATGCCACCCTGCCCAGCTAATTTTTGTATTTTTAGTAGAGACAGGGTTTCACCATGTTGGTCAAACAGGTCTCGAACTCCTGACCTGGTGATCTGCCAGCCTCAGCCTCCCAAAGTGCTGGGATTACAGGCGTGAGCCACCATGGCCAGCCCGAAAGAGTCTTTAGAAGCACAGCCTTAATTCCGAAGTGCATAAATATTTTTAAAGCAGGTTTTTTGTTGTTGTTGTTGTTTGTTTTGTTTTGTTTTTGAGATAGAGTCTCGCTTTGTCACCAGGTTGGAGTGCCATGGTGCGATCTCAATTCACTGCAACCTCCGCCTCCCAGCTTCAAGCACTTTTCCCGCCTCAGCCTCCCAAGTAGCTGGGACTACAGGTACACGCCACCGTGCCCAGCTAATTTTTCTGTATTTTTAGTAGAGATGGGGTTTCACCATCTTGGCCAGGATGGCCTCGATTTCTGGACCTCATGATCTACCTGCCTCGGCCTCCCAAAGTGCTGGGATTATAGGAGTGAGTCACCATGCCCGACATAAAGCAGGTATTTTATGTATTTATTTATTTAGCTAAATACAGTTCACTGAGATGCATGTAGGTGTGGGATTTTCTGCAATACCAAGTAACACCTAAAAATCTGCCTGGATATAAAAGAAAACTTTTTGACTGCTAAAATATTGTTTCAGAAGTTAAACAGAATTTTCATCAAGGCATTTTTCTCTTCTAGTTCTAAACTGAAAGGCTTTTAACATTTTAGGCATGAAATATTGCTTTTTCTAGTTTATTTTTTCCTTATAACTTATTACCACCTGCCACATTATATGTTTTACATATTATGTAAACTATACATTGCTTGAGGGTAGAGAGTTTTGTCTGCTCTGTCTGCTCATATCCCTAGCACCTATAATGATGCCTAGCACATAGCAGGCAAATAATTTTTAAAAAATAATCATTTGAGTGAATACAATTTCTAAACTTGTCTTTAAATAATAGAAAACAATGACAATTACTTGAACTGTCATAAAAATAATTCTCTACCTGTGAAAATTTCTGAAGTTAGCAGCTAAACAAAGATGTAAACCACAAATAAGTAATTGCAGGCTTACTACATGGATTTCTCTCATTTTATGACTGACTTACTAAGAAATTAAGGTTAAACAAAAAAAAAACAGCTAAAACAATTTTAAGAGATAGTGAGAATAGTGGTTGCCAGGAGCTGGGAGGAGGGGAAAACGAGAAGTTAGTGTTTAATGGGCATTTCAGATTGACATAATAAAAAAGTTCTCGAGATGGGCGGTTGTGACAGTTGCACAAGAATGTGAATATGCTTAAGTCCACGGACTTGTACATTTAAAAATGGCTAAAATGGTAACTTTTATGTTAGGTATATTGTACCACAATGTTAAAAAGCTTCTCCAAATAAAAACAATACAGGTGTAATTTTTGACACCCCCACTCCTGCGAAATTCATTCTGATCTAGATCTGCATGGATTTTGTCTTCTTTTTTTTTTTTTTTTTTTTTTTTTTTTGAGACTGAGTCTGGCTCTGTCGCCCAGGCTGGAGTGCAGTGGCCGGATCTCAGCTCACTGCAAGCTCCGCCTCCCGGGTTCACGCCATTCTCCTGCCTCAGCCTCCGGAGTAGCTGGGACCACAGGCGCCCGCCACCTCGCCCGGCTAGTTTTTTGTATTTTTTAGTAAAGACGGGGTTTCACCGTGTTAGCCAGGATGGTCTCGATCTCCTGACCTTGTGATCCGCCCGTCTCAGCCTCCCAAAGTGCTGGGATTACAGGCTTGAGCCACCGTGCCCGGCTGGATTTTGTCTTCTTATCCTCTGATAATTGTCCCCTTTTCCCTCTCATCACTGTTTTCTTTCCAAGGCAGATTCTATTTAGAAGAAACTTAATTTCATTGTGAATTATCTATGGTCTTCTTAGCACCCTGGTCTACAGTATTGTTTCTCAAAGGATAGTCCTCTAACTAGCGGCATCAACTTCATTGTAAACTTGTTAGAGAAATTTTATGTCCAATTTCTATCCATGGAATGATCAGACTAAGTCATATTCTTTGAATATTATCCTCCCCACAAAGCCAATACATCTTTTCTCCAAAACATGACAAGCAAATTGGAGAAATGTAGAATTTAGAATGGACTATTACAAATAAGCAAATTCTTGATAAATTTGCCAACACAATATGTGGGAAGACATCTGTGAGATGCATTGGAAAATCTTTCATCTTCTGAACATCTGTGAGATAGAGAAAATTTTACTTTGGTGAAGGCAGTTTATGTGCCAAAAAAAAAAAAAAAAAAATTAGGGAGCTGGCTTAAAATAAGATTTAGAGATTACAAACTGAAAATATCTTACAGTGCAAAGCAGTCACCCTGAGTTTTGTGTATACATTATAGTAATTAGAAATAAAAATCCATGAGAGATGCATGAAAGTACACAAGCTACAAATAAAAAGTTGCACACTATCTGCTTTTACCTTTCCTCCCCCGCAAATTACAACATGGTTTATTCATCTGCTCCAAGCTACTTACCACATGTAACGGTGCACATTCCGAATTCTACTTCTTTGACTACATTCGCATTTGAAACTAAACATAAAGGGTAAAGATACATTATTTAATTATATGAAAACTTTTCTAAGTGAAACACCTCTTACTTGGAGATGAAAGACATGCGTATCATATAGGCAGCAGACATTTTTTAAGTTTTCCATTTAAATCAGAAAACAATGCCATTCTGAGTACTGTTATTGTCTAATTCAAAAGAGTCTCAAACCTCTAAAGAAGTCCATTAAATTAGGAAATAACCTAATAGAAAGGTTTATATTTAAACTTTGTATATACCTTAAAAATGTTTTTCATCAGTTGATATATAGTAAGTTAAAATTTGATAGAGGGTCTCAGAAAAACACACAAAGGCCTGTCAGTTGTAAAAACCAATTTTTTCCATTCTCTATTTTCCAAAATTGAGTGTATAATTTCTATTCAAAGAGAAGTCATTAACCAGTGTTTATTAAAATGATAAAAGTTTTATAGATTAGTTCTACTCATTTCCCAGGTTAAGATGGTAAATTTAAATATTTCTAAGAATTTATTTCAACACTTTACCAGGTTAGTATAGGAGTGTATTACTATTTAAAAAATTAAATGTTGTTGGTTCTAAATCATGTTTCTCTTTTTCTCATCATTCTGAAGTTTGACATAAAATTCCACTAGCTATAGTATACAAGCCATTCTTCAGCTCAAATTAGGACTAAAATCTCAATAGAAAAAATATCAAATGAGATGTTAGAAGATGACTTTTAAAAGGCATTGTACCCTAGGACAACAAATCACATGGAAAACCCATCGAACTGGAGTCCAAAGAGCTGCTTCTATCACTAATTAGCTGTTTGCGTTTGAGCAAATTAATTAAATGCTGTCAGGCTTAGTTAACCCTTCTGCAAAATTTGGAAAGGAAAATCCATCTCATTTGATTGTTGTAAGAATTAAATAAGGATAATGTGTGTGAAAGCATTCTATAAATTGTTTAGTACTACAAACATACTTAAGATATAATTACCCAATTTAAACCCATTTTGTACTTACTAATTTAATATAATGCTGGGGTTTTTTTCCTATTTTGATAACTGTAAAATCTCAATAGCTTCATAAACACTACTATTCTGTACTTACGAGCACCAAATATAGTTTTTTGCTTTTGTTTTTCTGAGAGAATCTTACTCTGTTGCCCAGGCTGGAGTGCAGGGCTCACTGCAACCTCCACCTCCTAGGCACAAGTGATTCTTATGCTTCAGCCTCCTGAGTAGCTGGGACTACAGGCACGTGCCACCACACCGAGCTAATTTTTGTATTTTTAGTAGAGACAGAGTTTCACCATGTTGGCCAGGCTGGTCTCAAACTCCTGACCTCAAGTGATCCACCAGCCTCAGCCTCCCAAAGTGCTGAGATTACAGGCATGAGCCACCGTGCCCGGCCCCAATATAGTATCTTGAATACTCAGTAAGCACCCAGTGTACATAAGTAAATCAATATTGACTTAATGTTAAGTCATTTCTTTAACAAAAATAAATGATTTAGACTATCATGATGATCATTTTGAATTGTGGAATGCTTAGATACCTTCTACTGGCACATTATGTGATACAAATTAAAAGCCAAATCCTGAACATAGAAAACACGGCTAAGAGAATGAGTGCTGCACTATTTGTAAATATAAGCCTTTTTCAAAAACCATTAGTCAATTACTATGTATTATTCTACTTTGGGGAAGCTGTTTAATTTCTTCCAACTTGTTTCCTTAAAGAAAAACAAATGAGACTAAATAAGAAAGTCTCTAAAGTCCCTTTCAGCTTTAATATTCTATGATGTATTGAGTGTCCATTAGGTTACTCAGTAACCTTTTTAAAAAATGGGAATCCTACAATGGTGGGTCAGTGGAATTGTATGTAATTGGACTTCAGTGTAGCATTTGTCAAAATTTCTTGTTATAAACCTATGAGTGGTAAGAAAATAAACGGTCTGAATGTCAGTAGTTTTATGTGAAACTGTTTAAACTCTAAGATCACAGTGGTTAATTAACCAGTTGGTATCAACATGGTAGGAGTGATGTGTCACAGGGCTCTGTCCTGTTCAACATTTTTATTAATGACCTGGAAAAAGATGCTGTTATCATGCTGACTAAATCCAGAATTCTCCAAAGCTAGAAAGGATAGCAAATATATTTGATGATATATCCGTATCTAAAAAATGACAGGGTGAAATAATGGGCAAATCTAACAAAATGAAACCTTGTAGGAATAAAAAGTCCTTCACATACAGCTGAAAAGTCAGCTGTCCAAAACTATTTTATGGGTTGTCTTAATTTGATAGGACAGTTAAAAACGAATGGAGAGTTCAACAGTGAATTCAATAGGAGTCAAAGATGTGCAGAAGCTTCCCTAAAAATCTACTGGGTCTTAGGCTACACTAACAAAAGCCTGGCATTCACAGTGATGAGGATAATGATCTTGCTCTTTTAGTTGTGGCCAGATTCTGAAATGTTCTCTTCAGTTCAGGACAGCACACGGTAACTTTTGGTATCTATCATCAGGATGCAATTTTAGTTTTTCAGTTTCTGACAGTTGATTTATAAGGTTGATATTTCATGACTTCTATTCTTCCTTAGAAGTATTCCAAAGACAAAAAGAACATATGTGTATAGGATAAAACCCATTGTATAGACTACAACTTTCTATTTTGCAATTATTATGTAGGTCTATTGGATCCTGTTTATAAATCTAAAGGTATACCTGCATAAAAGATATATTTAAAAGGTATATTAAAGGGTATACAAGGTAAAACAAAAGTATAAGGATATAAATCTCATGTCTTTTTTCTTTTTTTTTTTTTTTTTTTTTTTTTTTTGAGACGGAGTCTCGCTTTGTTGCCCAGGCTGGAATGCAGTGGCGTGATCTCAGCTCACTGCAAGCTCCACCTTCTGGGTTCACGCCGTTCTCCTGCTTCAGTCTCCCGAGTGGCTGGAACTACAGGCACCCACCACTACGCCTGGCTAATTTTTTGTATTTTTGGTAGAGATGGGGTTTCACTGTGTTAGCCAGGATGGTCTCCATCTCCTGACCTTGTGATCCGCCCGCCTCGGCCTCCCAAAGTGCTGGGATTACAGGTGTGAGCTACCGTGCCTGGCCATAAATCTAGTATCTTAATGATTTTTCTTTATCTTGAAACATTGTGATATTTCATCACCCATAATGATTGTATTACTCTTTATTTTCAACTACATTTTTAAATGACTAAAATTTAAAAATGAAAGAATGATTGGAATTGCCTAGAAAAATAATGTAATTGTGAAATAATTACACTAACACAGGCTATTTTACAACATCCTGTGTTTTCATATTGTTTTACCCAAGATATTGCATCATCTTTCAAGAAGATATAAAAGAAGTCTAGAGGTATCCTCCTTGTAGTCTATTTCTGGCTTTTATTGAACATAGTTGAGATTTCACAATTTTTCATCTTTTGCCCATAATGGCAAAGAGAAGAAAACTGACAGAGAAAAACATTTCACAATTATTGAACGAATCAGAAGATGAAAAGAGACAGATAACAGCATTTTAGATGCTAATGATGATGATGAAATTGATTGTATAAGCAAAATCTCAATGAGAGATGATGACATCTTGGATGGATATACTAGATGAATTTTTTCTAACTTAAGAATTGATGAGTAAATAGTATCTTTCTGGGGATGAAAAGAATATATGGTATTATCATGTAGTTAGCCTTTCAACAGGAAAGATTTGATCTGGAAATATACTGTGACAATAACTTGTACCATACTGTTTTGCTAAAAGGATGTGGACAGTATTCACTCCTTTTTTAAAACATTTATGCACCAACATTTATTTGTCAAGGTTTGTAAATGAATATATTGTGATGAAAGATATGTATATAAAGGTGACTGAAAGAAAAGATTATGTAGAAATGAGTAAAATTCATTGGACCAATCATTCTAATTGGTGTTTATAAATCTAAAGATGAAAATATTTTCCAATTATGAAGAAAAGATGGCTTTCTCTTCAACAAAATATATGCCTTTGTAGTTTTCAAAAGTGTTGGTTTTTTGACAAGTGCAAAAAGAACCAAGATTAATGACAAGCTCAAATTTATTAAAGATGCACTCAAACTCTGTAATCAATATTAACACAATGAATGCATTCTAGGTTCATGCTTAACAACTGAGCACTTAGTTGCATTCAAAGTACTTTGCCCAGTTAGGGTACATACACCTTCAAAACTAGGATATATGGAATAAAAATTTGAATTTTTCCATGTTTAAATTCTTCTTGAAAGTTCTAACAAAGTTGTTTTCACTATCCCTTTATCCATATTTGTATATTATTTTTAAATGACTAAAAAAATTAAAGGTCCACTGGACTGTAAATGGGGATAACTGTTTCTACTGATCCACTGAGGGTTAAGGGGACAATGCAAATTTCAATAACAGTTCTGGAAATTTTCAGACCTCTAACACCTCAGATTGTTTAAAGTTTTGGATTCTCGCTCTCCCCAAGAAAAAGCACTTATGCATGAAACTGTATGTGTTAAAATCCCAGAAAGTACATGGATTCCTTAAAGTCCACAGATGAGGAAACTGAGACTCTGAGAGAGTAACTAACCTACATTTTAATTTGAATGTAAGACATTATAACTTTATTGTCTGAGTTTAGCCTAAATAATGTTTAGCATTTTATAGCTAGAAGTATCTCTTGGCCAGTTTAATATTAAAATTGTTAATTCAATTACTTTAAAGAAGAGAATGAAGCAATAGCTACTGTGCTTTAGAACATGTTCTCTTCTTTCCTAGTCTTTCTTTTTCACATTTCTGAAGTCAAGGATCTTTTTAAGCTCTCTGTAGTGTAATGTTACAAGGCCGTGCAAACCTCGATCCCACTGTTAACCTCAGACAATCCATTTCTTTTTGTTGGTGCTGAGGGTCACTATCAGGAAATAAAAGAAAGGCTGGTAGACACAGCAGTCACTCGATATGTATAGACTGAAGACACGTGAGAATGCAAACGATATTAGAAGAATCGCAGCTGGGTCATTTAGAAGGGAAAGGGATAATCCTTCTTGAGAAGATAGCAAACCTGCTGCTGACCTTCCACCTGCTAGAATGTGAGTTACTAATCAATATGACATGTACAACAGCCTGTAAAGTTTTATTGCTTAATGAGCCAGCAGAAAAAAGCAAATGTATGAACCAAGCAGGGGCTCATTGTTCCTTGGTTAACATGCAGCATCTAACAAAGCCACTAGCTGGATCCCTTGACAGGTGTTTTCTACTGCTCCATTCCTTTGTCCGAGGCTGCACATACCAATGAAACACCACAATGCAGAGGTGCTCAAGGCTAGGAGCTGCAGGAAGCTGCCATGGGGCTTCTGGGCAGTTTTGTCGGCATACTGGTCTATCTAGATGTGTCGTCGTAAAGGGGGATTCTGAATTCCACTGCAACCTCAAGTGCAAATGTGGAAATCAAGCAACTTGGAACTTGAAAAAAAAGAATCTACTATGAGAAGGGAAAATGAATGCAAGAAGAGTCAAAATGATTCCTCTTGGTGGAAGGCTACCTCCAACCCTTAAAAAAAAATCTTTTTCCTGGTCCAAAGCAATATTTAGAAGTTTTCTATAGTAATTTCTATATACGTGCTTATCTGGTGTATCTTGCTGTGGCCTGGGAGAATGAGCACATTCTTCTTCAAGGCCACAAGATGCAAGAAAGGGACAAACTCGGGGCTGAGGTATGCGAGAGAGCTCTCTAGACGTTAACACGGATAATTCTCATGGTTCGCCTTTGCTCCATCAACAGGGGCCACCGCATGCCCCCAAGGGAGTTCCCACCCTCACCATCCTCGGTTTCAGTCGGGGCGTAGTTCTCCGCGGTCTCGCTGTCGTTGTTTTCGGTCTCCTCCTCGCCCTCGCCTTCGTGGGCCAGGCCGGCATCCTGCACGGCGGCGGTGACGTTGGTCCCGCGCGCAGACGGGAGGACCGCCAGGAGCAGCCAGCCGACCGTCAGCAGCAGCCCGGCGGAGCAGCCCGTGCCCCTGGGGCTCATGGTTGAGGACAGGTGCGTTGAAGAGAGGTGCGACGCCCCGCCCGCAGCCGCCCGGCTCTGAATCTCCTGTGACGAACCGTGACGCCTCAATGGTTGCCTGGGCGCTGCTCCGGGGCTGAGCGCCTGGAACACGCGCGGAGCTGGGCTGCGTGGCGCGCAAGCCAGGACGCGACGAGGAGCCACGTGCGACAAGTCCCTAGAAGAGGACGCCTCCCTTACCCGCAACCGGAAGTTCCCTGCCCAGGCCGCCTCCCTGAGCCTTCCGGGTGCGGTAGGGGTTGCTGTCAGTTGCTCCTTCCGCCGCAGTTGATGGAGCGACCCTTCAGCCTCCTGGCTCACCCTGCCTGCTTTCTTCTAAGACATTTCATTTTCATACATAATGTTTACCCTTCCCCAAACTAGACTTCTTAGCCCTCACATACTCTTCGTGTGATTTGGTTTCAAAATTTCGTATCCAGAATGTCCAATTTGGGATGTATTGAGAAGGACTCGATTTCTTCTTTGGGATCAGAATAATAGACTTTGAGTAAGAAGAAATTTAGAAATCATCTGATACTCCAAGCCCCTCATTTTTAAGTGAAGAGATTAAGAATCAGAGAGATGAAATGACTCGCCCAAAAACATCCAGCAAATTATTTACAAACCTGGAGCTCCCAGTCACATCTCCCGAACACTTACTCGATGATCAGTGATTCTTACGATTCAAGGTTAACAATGAAGAAGCTTTCAGTGGGGGTGATTGGGAGTTCAAGCACTGAAAAGTTAGGGTTCACTTTTGATTCTGTTATTACAAATTTTGCCTCATCTAGTAGTCACATTGTGGTTGTTTGTGGTTGTTTTTGAAAAGACACATAGGGCGCCATACTTTGAGGCTGATTGTTTAAATTCCTATGACAAGTGAGATGAAAGTGAACTTGCGTACACTGGCTTTTGGAATATTTGAATATCTAGTCTCAGCAGACTAACAGATAAGCAGGTAACAGAAGAGTATTAAGAGGGTCTTCAGAGACACTTATTTGTAACAAAACAGATTGTTTGAAGCAGAAGTAGAAATTTTTTATTTGAATATTTTCTCCCAAAAAGGCTTCTACTTTTGAAAATACAAGGACTGCTAAACATCTTCAGTATTAAAGTTCGAATTGATATCGGTGAGAAGTCTCTGGGAACATTCATATCAATTAAAATACCTTAAAATATAGCGCTTGACAAGATTATGAGGGAGTTAACATGGGAAACTTAGAGATGATCTCGAGAAGTAAAGGCCTTTGTTTCATGGCTAAATGAGTCAAAATTTTTCTTTTTTGAATCCTGAGAGAAATAAAGTAAAAAATTATGCTGTCCAACACAAACTTTAAAACGATGATACATAGTATTGTTGCTGGCAAATTGTTGAGTGTTTCAAAGTCAATTTTAGGATCCATTGCTTCCTGAAGATAGTATCCTTTTTGAGCAGAGGAAGTCCCATAAACTCTATAGTATGTACTTTGACTCAAGGAAACATCAATAATCTAATAAATAAACAGCTGCAAAGGGAATCCAGATGGGTCTCAAAGAGGACCTGAAAGATTTAACTCTGAAATAAAGACTATTAATATCTCTAATAGCAGCAATATAAATCACCTATAAAATATTGTGTTACTCATGTAAGTTATAAGAAAAAGTGTAATATCTGTCCTCAACAAACTTTTACTGTCTCTCTAGTACTCTCTCTAGCCACAAATAAATGAAAGGTAAGTGTTTAACCAGAAGGGCAGGGCACAGAGTCTGACCCTACTCTGACCTGCAGATACAAAGGAGCAGGAATTCCACCCTCAATCCCTGATATGCTCCTCTGACCCACCTCATCCTGCCTGGAACTAAGCATCTCCACCCCCAGCTCCAATTTCGGATGTGGGGATTAAAGCCCAAACGCCTCTGCCCCACTCTGCCCAAACATAGCTCACCTATCTTGGTCTGACCTTACCTTGCTTGGCCTCATTTGGCATGCAGGAAAATCATTCCTCTAACCAGTCTCTGCACTACCTACCCTTGAAGACCAATTTGTATTCTGAAAAGGAAGACCAATTTGTGTATGTGTGATATAAGCACAAGATAATCAAGGCCTAAATAAAGGATTACCATAAAAATGAAAAGAGAAATGAATGTGAGAGAAATAACAAAGAAAGGATTAACAAAATGGAATGACTGGCTGCCTAAGCAGGATAAGGGAGTGAGGGAGGGAGCAAATAAAGGGAATTAGGAAAGTCAGTAGACATTTTGTTTAAGCAGGTTAAGTTGGAGGTATCAACAGAAGTCAAGTGAAAACATTCAGTGGGCGGCTTGAGATAACCATATACCAAAAAAAAAGATGAAAACCACTCATACATGCCACAAGCATGAAAAATACACACACACACACACACACACACACACACACACACAGTTAATATAATGTTCTAAGTACTGCTATAATATTAGAAACTTTACAGTGATATTTGTGAAAATAATTGGGAGATAAAATTGATTTTGGCTTTAATATGCTTGATTTGGTAAAAAGCATTCTCCATAGTAATCCCCCAGAGAGAAGGTTCTCAAACCTCTTTTTTTTTTTTTTTTTTTTTTTTGACAGAGTCTCGTTCTGTCACCCAGGCTAGAGTGCAGTGGCGCCATCTCGGCTCACTGCAAGCTCTGCCTGCCGGGTTCAGGCCATTCTTCTGTCTCAGCCTCCCGAGTAGCTAGGACTACAGGCGCCTGCCACCTCGCCCGGCTAATTTTTTGTATTTTTAGTAGAGACAGGGTGTCAAATGTTAGCCAGGATGGTCTCGATCTCCTGACCTCGTAATCTGCCCGCCTCAGCCTCCCAGAGTGCTGGGATTACAGGCGTGAGCCACTATGCCTGGCCCTCTTGTGATATTTCTAATCTTTAGGGGAAAGGAGGTTTCTCTCTTTGGAGCAAGATCCCAGAGGCAGGATTTCTCCCCTGGCTGTTTTGTTTCACACCCTTACCTCTGTTGTGTCCTCATTCTGTGTCCATCACTTAAAACTGTACTGCTAATGAGGGAATTTTGTGGTAGAAACTGTAGGAAACCTACTGCAGGAAAAAGATAGGCATAAAAAATTAAGAAGCTGTAGGAACCCCCCTGGACTTTTGAATACAGGAATAGCAGTTTCAAATGGTCAGACTATATCTTCTCAATAAAATGTAACTGCCTACAACGTCCTTACCTCACTGAAGGTCTTCTTAAGCCAATAAGAATTTCCATGCGTTAAAGGAAGAGTGGTACTCATAAGATGTTCTTTCTATTTTAATAAGAAGAATCTTAAAAGCCATTGAAAATTAAATAATATTCTAGAGCAATGGGGTCGGCATTTGTGACAGGAATAAGTATCACATTGTGAATAAGTCTTGATAGAAAGCATATGGTACTTTCATATTCCTCTATTTGCAGGGCTGTGTAAACCACGTTTTCTAAGATTGAATAAGGTCCCCTACCTGTAGTTATTCAGATTATAGATGCATAGCCTCACTTAGCTACATGTACACAGATTAATACATGAAACAGAATTTTAGAATTTACCTGTGTCATTGAGTTTCCCCCACAGCTTTTGTGATCGTATCTTTTTTTTTCTTTTTTTCTTTTTTTTACTTTTGAGTCCATGGTAAGAACAAGTTCTCTTATTTCCCTTGGTTACCGAGGAACAAGGTCTATCCCAGTGTCCCATTTCACTACTTCTCTACCGACGCCCACTCCAAACTCAACTGCTTTCCAATTTTGTAATTTTGTCTCTTTAATACTCCTAAAATAGATGTGACCCTTACCCTCCTTTCTAAACATGGATTCCCTGGTGACAAGCCTAAATTGTCCTAATTTCTGAACTCAAGGATTCCCCCAGAGTCTCAAGTTTAGTTTCTCCATTTAACTCTACTCTGTACCGCCACCAGAGCACAAACCATACAGGGTGTTACAACTCCCATGGTTTCAGGATATTTATTAACAAGCTATATAAAAGTCTACTACCTTTTCACATATATGGCTCAATTATACCAGAGCTTTACACTTTTCACACATGTAGATTAAGGAGAGTCATATAACTGGATATCTTTAGAGTCTTTAGGAATTCCTGTATGGGACCACTAAACATCAGATGCACCTAAATTATCTTAGGATTTTAATTTTACTTTCAACCGTGTAATAACACAGGACAGGCATTCTGGGGAAGAGTGCTTTGGAAGCAAGTGAAAACATAAGTTGTACTTCCCAAAACTCATAAGTACTCACCTTAAAAATTCTCTAGTTACTTTGAGGTGTGAGTAACGATTTTGTTCCAAAATAAGATTTTTAAAAATAGCGTTATTGAGACATAGGCCATACAATAAGTGGCACACATCTAAAGTAGAGAAATGCAAATTAAAACCACAATGAGATACCACTTTACCTCAGCCAGAATGACCATTATTTAAAAATCAAAAAACAATAGATATTGGCATGGATGCAATATAAAGGGAACACTTACACATTGTTGGTGGGGATGTAAATTAGTACAACCGTTATGGAAAATGGTAGGGAAATTTTCCAATGGTAGATCTATCATTTCCTTCAGCAACCCCAGTACTGGGTATCTACCCAAAGGAAAGGAAGTCATTACATAAAGAAGACACAGGCACATGCATGTTTATTGCAGCACAATTCACAATTCAAAAGATGTAGAATTAACCTAAGTGTCCATCAACCAATGAGTGGACAAAGAAAAGGTGATATTCACACATACCATGAAATATACCATCAAATAGCCAAAACAAAGAACAAAATAATGTCTTTTGCAGCAACTTGGATGGAACTGGAGGCCATAATTCTAAATGAAGTGACTCAGGAATGGAAAACCAAATACTGCATGTTCTCACTTATAAGTATGAGCTAAGTTATGGGTAGACAAATGCATATGGAGTGGTATGATAGATATTGAAGACTCAGAAAGGGTGAGGGGATTTTAAAAATTATCTATTGGGTACACTGTACACTATTTGGGTTATGGGTACACTTAAAGCCCAGACTTCACCACTATACAATTCATCCATGTAGACAAAAACCACTTGTGACCCTAGAGTTATTGAAATAAATTTTCTTAAGAAAAGAA